TATACGAAGGATGTGATCTTAAAACTTGCTCGTACTATATGAATGAAGGGTAGAGAAGGGGAAGGGGGGGGGGGGGAGAGGAAGGGTAAGGAAACGAAAGAGGAGACAGGAATCGCAAATCAAACTAGTAAGAATCCTCTCTCCTGTCCTGACTTCCTCTCCTCTTCCCAAATCATGGCTTTTGAATTTCTCAATAGCATACCTCAGAGTACACATACGAAGCTTCCATGAAGATACGAGGCACACGCAACCAAAAGATAATTAGATCTAACACCCAAGTAATAACGTCCAGCCATTCCCATATTGATCAACAAAATGGGCTGACATCAACGATTACAAAAAAAGACAAAAAAAAGAGCTGAAATGACACAATCACGGGAGCAGTTAACTGTCTTGATCTAGTAGGGCCACCAGAGGTGTCCAGGGAAGAACGACGAGGGAAGAGGCACGCATCGCACCACTGCCAAGTGATATGCCAATCCGAAGCCCGACGGCAGCCACACACACACACACACACACACACACACACACACACACACACAAGACACACACACACACACACAACACACACACACACACACACACACACACACACACACACAGAGGGACGGGTAGCCGACGGAAAGCGCTCGAAAGTGAATGAGCAGACACCCACACACATGCAAGCACTCACACACGGATGCAGACAGACACGAACGCAAACATAGATGGGCAGAAGAAGGAAGACTTGTACTCCTGGCACAAGGTTCCCTTGCAGGGATAGAGTAAAAGATAACGAAGACCTACAGTCAGTAAGTCCCTCGTAATCCGTGCAAGCGGGCATGAAGGTGAGTACGTGAACTGACCTCAACAAGTGCCCCCGAGCCGAGGCAGCCGCAGCGGTGGTGGACAATGCACCGATACGTAGGTCCAACTGTGTGATCCCGACAAATATAAGTACCTGGGAGAACTGCCCTCTCCACCCACCTCCCACCTCCCACCTCCCCTCGCCAGAGTCGCCACACACCCGCACCTCACGGACTTAGGGCCTCGCCACACGGCACCCTAAACGAAACGGAACGAAACGATTTTTTTTTCTTCGCTACCGGTAAGGCTCGCGAACCACAAAGTTCGTTTCTTTTCGGTTTTAGGGCCAGATCCCACTAGCCCCTATTGTTCATTGTTGACCGTTGATCTTCGTAATCGAGGGCGAGAATGAATAATCCAGGGTTGTGGGATCTGACCCTTAGATGCTTTGCTACATGGACCTGGCGACTTGCCGTGACGCCAGACTGAAGACGTAATAAGTCGTCGCCGTTTTCCTTCTTTTTTTTGGGGAAAATTTGTCTGGAGCCCCTCCAATTTCGATTGTATTAAGTCCCGCCCCTCAGAAGGACCACTTACCCTGTCGTGGCCCTAGGGCCTCTGAACTTTCCTGCATGCCCCTGTCAGTAAGGGCGCAGCTTTCCACGGTGCCCTTACTGGACGGCCAGTCCCATTTCACCAGTCACTGCGTGATATGCCCTCATGAGCGGCATTCATCTTTCGGTCATGCCCTTGCACCGGAAATTCGGATTTGAAGCACGTGGTTTTTGTGGCACTGCTGCAAGAAATGAGTGTGTGTGTGTGTGTGTGTGTGTGTGTGTGTTGTTTTAAAGGACCCCAGATTCTCTC